AAGCATTGCATCTGAAAAGTAGATATTTCAAATTTAGGCGTATGAAAAGTATTATCAAACACCACCTCTAATTGAAAAAAGTGGGGAGATTTTAATATTTAAAAGAAACTATACGGGAAGTTTAAGTCTCTTACCCTAATTTTTATAAATGTAGAAATATAAAAAAAATTAAAAACATATTATTTATTATTATCATAAAAAATTATTATCTACATGCACACTTACTATTTTGCCTCAGGTAGAAAAATGCTATTCTACCTATGGAAATCTAAAATATCATTGTAACGAACTAAACGGTGGGTTTCAAATATAATTCTAAATTTCTATTCTTGTAAATATAAATCAAACGGACTTGGACTTTGGGCGTATCGAATTCAAATTTTGGCAAAAGTCAAATCCAAGCCCAACCCATAAGCAAATCTAATACATGACGTTTCCAATGCATGCATGTTGAAATGTGTATATGGAGCATTGATGGGGCGCAGATGTAAATTCTTACCATCGTACATCGGGATCATCTTTACAAGAATGGCAAAGATGATGTTCCCGATAGGCGGATGCTGTTGAAGCAGTTTTGGGAGAGTTGTATTGCTAGCAAATCCCTACCCATAACTTTCACGTAGACGCGACGATGACATGCGCGTGTCTGGATTCTGTTGTCGATCAATAATTGTGAACGATGTGGACTGTCAAAGGTACAGTTGGGAGCTGGCTTCCATCACGGAGCCAGCTGGAACCCTGATCATCAAACCCCATCTTCCTCCCCTTCAGGAAAGTAAAAGCTTAAAAAAGGCATACATCTTCGTACGGACACAAATGATGACACTGTCATAATACGGACCTCCAGATGAGATGGACTGGGTCGCACGTCCCTGTCCCCGAGGTCAGATCGTCTGTCCCTCCAATAAAAATCAAACACGTCATTTGGTCCCACTTAATATTTCAAACCGACGGACTTCAGAATTAACGCCCGTTGGACTTCAAATTTATTTTAGTTTTGATTTAGGCGCTCAACCTATTTCCGTTCTTTTTATTTTTATTTCACTCCTGCTCTGTATCTCATTTCTCCTCTCTCGTTCAATCAAACATGCTACAATTACCAACACTTAGATCTAGTCGATGAGATCACAGAATCAACCGAAAGTGGCTTTTCTAAATCTAATAGATTTCAAGAAAAACAATTGGTTTTAGATATTCCGATCTATCTATCACATGGTGAAAGAAGTAAATGTATAACCGAGTGCCACTTCTCTCTTATTCTATTTCTAGATTTCCAAATTCCAATTTCCAGGTGCTCTCTGGTTTATTGAAGGGACACGCAGTGGCTCTATATAATTGAAATGTATGAAAAACTATGTACTTTTGAAAGAGCTAATGGCTCCTCATATTGTTGCCACTTAATAAAACATCTTGTTAGCTTTCATCTTACATAGTAGTTCTCTGTTGTTGTACCAAGAAGGCAAGAACTATTATCGGATTCTACCATATATGTTCTATTAATGTTTCTCCTTGTGAGGAAACAATTTCTCACTTTTCTTTCTTACTAGTGAAGTGATATATAAATCCTACAAACAGATTAAAAATAAAAGATGGTAAATCATATGGAGGAACTTGTATCTAAATTCTACGTTTTGGGAGTTAATGAGGATGAGGAGGATCCCCTATTTCATACATACAGTAGTAGGTTAACTAGTTGAAAACTTAGGGAAAGTAAGACAAATTCCATGCATTTTTATCACCTAAAAAAAATTCACGCCTAATCCATGGGTAATGGAGATTTTGCTTCCCATTTCAAATTTTTTTTTTTTATTAAAAGAAGATCGATACTTGGAATTTATGAAATTAATTTTTCTGTGTGGAGGAATCTCATTATAATTTCAACTATCCAGATATTGCATATCAATTATGTCTTCATTCTTCTCGAGCTGAACATTGTTCACCGGTGGAGGAATCTATCGTCATTTTAATGAAAAAATTATTCACGGTGAAACTGAATGTTAATAGAGGAAAGACAGAATCATAGAACTGGACATCGGTGTTTGTAGTATGTTCGGTTGAATGAAAGAGGAAAAATGAGATAGAACGGAGGAAAGAAATGAAAATAAAAAGAATGGAGGTGGATTGGGCGCCTAAACGAAAACAAAAAGAAATTTGGAGTCCTGACAGACGTTAAGTCTAAACTCCGATGGTTTGAAATGATAAATGGCACCTATGACATGTTCAATTACTATTGGTGGGGACAGAAAATTTTCTGTTCCTTAGACGATGTAATCTCCCTGCCCTCATGTTTCTCTTTTCTCCCACACAAAACTCCAGCGCCAAGTGAAAACACCGGGAGTGAACCATACTATAGCAACAAACGCTACCAACACTGTAGAGATATATATATATAGAGAGAGAGACAGAGGAGGGACTATACTATAATACAGTATAACAACAAGAATGTAACAATTCTTACAAATCTGCCGTCTTCAGCTGTATCGCCATTGAGGTTGATCAGGGGTACCACTAGACCTGTTCATGGGCCCGGCCCAGCCCGGCTTCCAGACGGGTTTGAGCATGTGTTTTAGCCCACGGGTTTGACCTCAGGCCTAAAAGCCCGAGTCCGACTATTTTACGGGTCGGGCTCGGGATTTGTTAAAAAAGCCTGGCCCGAGCCCGACCCGGCCCGACTTTTCCTAAATTACCTAACCCTAACCCTAACCTTAAATACTTAAAATTTTTCTTTTCATTCTCCTTTCTCACTCTCACTCTCAGAAGCGGCTCTCATTTCTCTTTCTCAACTCTCAGAACCAGGGAACCCAACTGCACCTGCAAACTCAGTCACTGACGGCCGACTCCACCAGAACTAGTCATCTCTCTCTTTGGCGATGATCTCTCTCTCTCTCTTTAGCTGGCGCCGTTTTCATCTTCTTTCTTCTCATTCTCAGTTTTCTCTCTTCTTAGAACTAGGTCTTCTATCATCTCAGTTCTCTCTCCAGCTGGCGCCACCAGAACCCAGGCGCACCGTTTTCATTCTGCGAAATCAGGCACTGCCGCACCGGCGGCTGGCACCACCAGATCTAGATCGTCTCTCTCTCGAGCGGTGAGCTCTCTTTCTCTCTCTCTCTCTTACTGGCATTGTTGTCATCTTCTATTTTCTCACTTTCTGGGTTTCTATTATCACTCTCAGACTCCTAGGAATCGGCAAACTCAACAGGCACCATTCTTTCAGACGGTATCGACGCTCAGACTCCCAAATCGGGCTTCGGGCTCGAGCCCGAACTTCGGGCTTTTTTGAGGGCCAGGCTCGGGCCTGAAAATTTTATGTTAATAAAGAACAAAAGCCCGCCCGAGCCCGGCCCGGCCCATGAACAGGTCTAGGTACCACCATATATATATATAATCGACCATACAAATAAAATTTTGTTTTCGATGGAAAGACGCACAGAGCTATCTACAGTCTACTGTTTGGTGGGAACTCATTGCACGGTAATAAATGATAAATGCCCAGTGTGCGTTTGTCCGAGTGTCGACAAAACATCCGTCCTGACTCCTGTTGCACAAAACCTCGACATATGTTCATAGATTACTACCACACACTACAGTCTTCCACCACGCTTTTTTTTCTTTTCGAAACCCGGTTGATCGAGTCGAATTTCAAGTGTGTCGTTGTAGGAGAGTTTCAGCAGGTGCTCTACATTCTACAGTGCTAGGACATAACACAAACAATACAACTACAACTGCAACCCATGGCTATTGGCTACAGCCAGCTTTACCCTTTTCTGCTCCATTATATATTTGCTGTGGGCTGGATCGTCTTTGTGCCATCTCATCCATGACCCATCTGTCATGTGCCAGCCCAAGTGCCAAATTCAGTGGTGATGACGGACGGTGAGTCGGTTGTTGAGGAATTGCATACCCCCCTCCCTGCCGGACCGAGGACCGACCCTCGTACCCTGACTCTGACCCTAGTTTTTTGGGAATCTCGGTTCTTTCTAGTCGACCCCGTTGTTCTGTTTCGGTGCAACTCTTTCTGTTTCTGGGGAATTTGGGAACATGAATGACGTATGTACGGTCTACCTAGAATTTCGTCACGTATCGCTCTCTCTATCTCCTATTTTGTCGTCTTGTCCAGCACCATTCATCCCAATTCTCAACTGAGAAAGGAAGTAAATATGGTGTGCCGCGGTAATACGCGGTACTGAAGCACCATTGTTGGACGAGGGAGCATCACCACTTCACCAGGGGCATTTTCTTCATCAAAGCCAAAGATTCCATTCGTGCCAATCTCGACGTTTCAGCATACTAATCCTTCTGATGGTGAAGTTTCAGCAGCGAACCCGTACTAACCTCCTCTAGTCTCTAGACACGCGTAGTCGAGGAACAAACGACGATGACCATTTGACAATTGACAAATGACAGCACGCTTAGCTGTCTCCCTCGTCGTCACCTTCTCCTTCCTTGAATTCTTGTTTGTTTGTTTCTTCACTTCTTCTCTGTTCTCTCTCACTTGCTTGATATTCAATGCACCACCCTAAGCGAAGCCCGAGACCCCGACCGATTCAGCATTCAGCAATTTCTTCGAATTCCGGCACAGCAATTTCTTCGATTCAGCATTTCTGCATCCAGTTTTACACAATGACAAAAATACCCTCAGAAAGCATTTTTCATCAAACTCGACCACGTTCCATCCACTCACTATATTCCGATCGAAGGATATGATGGCTGATGGGTCAGGATCTTTGGATGCTTCTGATTTCACACTGACAATATGCATTTTGCTTTGCTTTATTTATTTAGTTTTTTACCATCGACTTTTGTGTTTATCCCCATCTATCAACTTGCATGCTTTTCGGCACCAGGCACGATGTCACATGTTATGTACTCGAACGGTTGAGATTAAACCTATATCCACCTAGATCATTGTGCAGCAGAGTGTGGTCAGATCGTAAATATCACCCGGGGATCGGGGTAGTCTCCAATTTACCATCGTTATAAGAGTGAGCCACCCACGGTCCCCAAAACGTCTGCTACTAGTGTGCTTCAGCTTTTATTCTCTCTGCTTCTGGATCACCAAAAATGGCGTTACGTGTGCTTCTAGTGGTGGTGGTTCTGCTCATCTGCGTCGCCGAGGTAAGACTCAACAACAAAACTATTTGGTTTCCCTCCAAAAGAAGTTGACCACGGGGCCGCTTGGGCTTTGGTTTCTCTCTTTTCCGAGTTTTGACAAATAACGTACCTCTTGTAGGTTCCGTCGAACGTTGCCATAGAAGGTGAAGTGAACTATCTTAACCAGGTATATCAACAAACCATTCTTTCTCTGTACTCCTGAAAGCTTTAATATTTCTTTTCTTCTTCTCTTGAGTGATAAAAGTTTCAACTCACCGAGATCGTCCTTTTTTGCCTGTTTCTCAGGTTATTTTTCCTGGAGGGAACAGGAGGCTTATGCAGTCCATCGGTGAGTTTTTGCTTTATATGTGCATTACTTTTGTCGTATGGAGATTTCTTCCCTTCTCATCCATCATTTGGTCCATTCAGTTAAGTTCAGATTGTACTGTAAGCAGTAAATAGGCTAGAAATCTTGAGAAATTAATTAAATGGGTTTGGACTTTGGAGCGAGCCAAGGTTGGAAATAATTAATATATGTTCTGGTTGGCATGGCATGTTGTAGATTGTGATGGGTTGTGCAAGGTGCGATGTGGTCTACACTCAAGGCCGAATGTTTGCACAAGAGCATGTGGGACTTGCTGCAAGAGGTGCAAATGTGTTCCTCCGGGCACTTACGGAAACAGGGAGATGTGTGGAAGCTGCTACACGGACATGAAGACTCACGGCAACCGGACTAAGTGCCCATGAGCGGTTGAGCCAAGCCTATGACAAAAATGGCCAAACAGAAATAGCATACTGAAATCACATAAAGATACTCTCTCTCTCTCTGTTCATACCGTGTAGACAAGTCTTCTTTCTTTTTAGTCTGTCATCGGACAAAATTTCCTTTTTCTGCCTTGTTGTTATGGTAGTAGTAATTGGTGTACTTGTAGTGATTACATATGGAGTTTTTTTTTGGATTAAGTAGTGATAATGAGTACGGGTTTGTGTATAATATATATGTGGTTATGCATAAGCGTGCTTTACTGCCTTTAATTAACTAAACACTGTGTTTGCATAAACTTTTGGTTTTGAGCCTTGGGCTGTAGAAAACAAAATTAAGCCAAAAAGTGTTCTTAGTGTTTGGTGAGAAAAGGGAGATTTTTTATGTGGGCAACTTTGGGCCTTTGTGATTTTGGGCTTCGAAATCTGAAACTATATTACATGCATGCATGGATGTAAGCAACTTTGCCCCTTTAGGAGTAGTTGAAATTGTTAAAATGGAGCTTTGTTTTGTTGTGCCACTTCAACTAAAACAGGAAAAATGATTCAATGAAATTGCAGTGGTGTTGGGCCACCCAAGACCCAGACCGTATGATAGGGGCTCGCATCTGCCCCCCACATAGATTCCCCCCCCCCTCGTATGATAGGGGCGCGCCGCGTGTCCTCGGGCACGTGCACTAAGATGGCTCGTGCGGCCTCTATTTGATGTCCGTTTTGCAAACACTTCCGTTAATTTCATCTCGCCCAACTTGTTCTGGGTATTATTCTCCCATTCTGCGGCCCAATTCAAACCTTGGCGCCCCTTACATAGCCCACCGGAGATTAACTTTTTCGAGTTTTGCCGGTTGACGCCGATGATCATACCGGCAGGAGGTAAGTATTCCTTTATTTTTTCTCATTCATCTTTAAACATTCTCAGATCTGAAACCTGCTGAAGTGGGAGCCCCCTTCGAGTTGACACCCCCTTCCGTAACAGGGGAGTGGGTTTCAGTTCTGTTACCGGTGAAAATCGGCTGAAAACAGTATGAACAAGGGGGCTCCTTCCACTCCAGCGGGTTTCAGATCTGAGAATGTTTGAAGATGAATGAGAAAAAACAAAAAAAAAAAAAGATAAGAAATGAGAAAAACTTCCGAAATACTTACCTTCTGTCGGTATGGTCATTGGCATCGACCGGCAAAACTCGAAAGAGTTGATCTCCGATGGGCTATGGAAGGGGGTGCCAAGGTTTCAGTTCGACAGCAGAATGGGAGAAGAATACCATTAAACCCTTTTTGGGCGGGATGGAATTAACGGAAGTATTTGCAAACGGACCTCAAATGGAGGCCGCACGAGCCATCTTGGTGCGGCGCGCGTAGGATGTGTGACGTTTTTTTGGGGGGGGGGCAACTATGTGGGGGGCAGATTTGAACCCGTATGATAGCTGACCACACCTGACTGTATTTGCAGTCCGCCAGAGACACTAATGGAGGTTTTTAACTTTTTTTACCAACAGAAAAAAAAGTAGGGTCATTTATTAAAAGTTTAAAACACTCCCTATAATTTTATAAATTTACTTAAACCGATAATGTAGTTTCCCTTTTAAAATACATCGTGTAGTTTTAAAACACCTTTATAGTTTACAACCTATTTACTTAATTGACCTTTCTTTCCCTAACAAATATTTGTTAATTATTTATCTCAAAAGTACTTTTTAATACTTGTATATAAAATAAAATTAATCAGATAGGATGGTTGCTTCTGTCTTATTATAGACAAAATGGTATTTTATTTTTATTTTGATTAAATTTATTCAAATAGATATAAAGAATTAAAACTATCATTTTTAACGAATACATTAGGAGATATTTTAATAAATGACCCAAAAAACTAATAGAGATTCAAGTAGATAGCACTAGAGGGCCTTATCCGTGGTTAGATTAGAATCTACTTTGACAATTGACACCAATTTAATGCGTAAAAGCGATTAGTGGCCCCACTCCCTTAGTAAATTAAACTGCGAGCCTTGTTTTAACATGCAAGGTTGCATTTTTCTTGTTCCAGATTATATAATTTTGGCCCAGTCCAATAAATAGACAATGAGATTGACAGGCTCAATCATAATTACTCCCTATTAATTTTTCATACTTCGTATCTTTTTTGGGCTTGGGTTTGGGTTTGGGTTTGTGGAGACAAAAACGAAACCAGATTGGGCCCCGTAGGGGTAGTTTGCCTGATGACCTAAAACTAATCCAGGGTGGAATCATCTAGAGCTCATAAAAAAGGAATTTCTAAGTGGATGATTCGGATTTCCACTCGGGATTGCATCCTGCCTACAGCCTATAGGTTCAGTCTATTATTATTAGTCTAAGGGAAAATATTATGTAGATGGAAGGTTACATTTCTGCTTGACATGGGATGTATCCAGCATCGAGGCTTTATCATTCTTGGCCATGCGTTTATATTCTAATCTGTCACAGATCCATCTCTTACCACTTCTGTGAAGCCTTTTTCCAAGGGATGCTTGCCTTTTAAAAGTTTAAGAGGAATAATTTGTTTGCTATCGTGGGTGAGGGTTCATCTCCTATCGCTATCTTTATCTTTGCCACTTGGCTCACAAATTGTAAATAAGGGAGTTATGTCAAGCGTAATGAATTACGAGTTGGACATAGGCCTCATGAGTCGCGCCTCAGGCCCAATGTTCATCAATTTGTGTATGGAGTTGGCCATTGCAAGAGATTGTGGATGGTTGTACTGCTTTTCGAGACAGAGCAGAGACTGAACATTGCGCTCTTCTGCGAGAACTAGCTCTGTTCCTTTTAACTGTTTTGTTGAGACTGGTAATCCATCATAATAAAAGCAAACAATTCGTAGTTCTGGTTTGCAGAGAAGAAATTGGCGACAAACGAAGAAGTGAAGTAGCTGATGGCCCAACGTGCCTTTCCATTTAACCAAGGCTCTGTTTGGTTGCATACAAAATGAATGATTTCCTCAGAAGGGCATTTTTATGGTGTTTGGTTGCATGTAAATTGGCCATGAAAAGCAAACATCTTCCAAAAGGTGATTACCATTTACCAACCATGGGAAAAAGGACTGTCCTAATCCTTAGAAATAAAGCCTGTACCGAGTACCCTCCCCACCAGGCCACCACAATCATAGAAGTCCATAAGCATGCTAGCTAGACATCTCATCCATGCCGTACGTCTTGCTCACAGCACAGCACTGCCTTGCCCTCTCCTTGGTTTGTAGTTTTAAATGCATGATGCATCTAACATTTTATTATTTGTACATGGCAGAGGTAGACTTGTCACTTGTGAGATAGATTGATGCCTTCGCGAGAGATGAGTACTGGGAGGGGGTTGGGGGCTGCCCTACTTGTGGCCCATTCACATATTCGGATAATACTCATAGCCCAAAATAACTTGAAATAAAATTTTAAATTTTGTCAAAAGAATTTACTTATTTTTCATTTTACCTTCCAAGCTTCATAACATCATGAAGGCTCCAGTTCTCTTCCTCTCTCTCTCTCTCTCTCTCTCACACACGCACACTCTTCGGCTCTCCTACATCACTAGATGATGTAGCAACAATGATCCCTCCCTTTCCCTCTAGACGTCTGGTCTACCACACACACACAAATACAAGAGTGAACCGATGAAGTAAAAAAGAAAACTTGGTACTAGTTAAGGTAGGTCAAGGACACTTGGGCTGATTGCCGTGGGTGGTCATGTCAGTGTAGCATTTGCCGCACATCTGCCTGTTACCATATGTTCCGGGTGGAACACATTTGCATCGTTGACAGCAAGTGTAGCAGATTCTGTTGCATTGTCTTGGCCTCGAATGCAATTTGCACCTTCCAGCACACAATCTCGGACATTCTGAACACAGTTCACATGCAATAATAGAGAGGGTTCTTTAGAGAGGTCGCCCTCTAATCCATAATAAGCACTCGTGAAATTGTGTGAAGCCATCTAATTTTCAAATTGTAATTAAGGCAAAGTCACCTGTAATGGGGACTGGTGATAGGACTGGAGTTGGAGCTTTGGCATGGGTTGGCGGTGGAGCAGGAGGCTTCACTGGAGCTTTTGCATAGGTTGGCGCTGGAGCAGGTGGCTGCTTCACTGGAGCTTTTGCATAAGTTGGCGGTGGAGCAGGAGGCTTCACTGGAGCTTTTGCGTAAGTTGGCGTTGGAACGGGAGCCCTTGATGGAGCCTTCGCGTAGGTAGTCTGCACCACATAATCAGTCTTCAAATTTGTTTGCTTGATAAGAGTATTTGCAATATATATGATTTATTCGCAAGAATCATCTCTGATTCTTTATTACATGCAATTGAGCTAGAATGTTTGCTCTAAGATGTTTTGAAATTTTTAATCCTATTCTCGGTGGCATGGATGACATTTAGGGTCCGTTCTGATTCCATACCCCTACTCCTGTGAATCAAAGGAGCCCTTAATTTGTATCATGGAATTAAAAGGATTTCAGGGGAAAATGGGTTTTATTTCAAATATCAAAATGCTATTCGAAACATGCGTACTTATAAAGAACCGAAAATCGAGCTAACGTTGAAAGATGTTATATAGGTTTGCACATTGAACTTTTTAGCAACCAAAAGTCATAGTAATATCTCAACATACCTCCGTAAAGAATTCCTCGTCTCTACATGATGCCTACAACATAAAATCCAAAAAACATCGATTAATTGTCGGAGAAAACAGAAACGGAATATATTTTTTTTCTCTGGGGGGTGGGGGGTGGGGGATTGTTTCTTACCCTTATGGTAAATAGAAGAAAAGAGGCCAACAATAAGAGTATGACTTTATTGAAAGCCATTACCGAAACAGAAGGAAGAGGAGGCAAAAAAAATGGTTTAAGTGATACTGAATGATATATGTATGATTCAAGCTGCTTGAAACTGTATGGTATATAACTATATATAGAGCAGGATCTGTACAGAGAGAAGGATCGAGAGAGTTTCCAGTAAAGAAATAAAAAGATAATATATCTAAGCTTGGAGAGAGGCTAGCTGTATTATCAGTTATCCCTTAAGTTTATTTTATTGACCAACTCACGAGGTTGTTCTTTAAAAATTTTACAAGGAAGCTGAATTTCATTGATCGATGTTTCCGATTTTCTTTTTTGACCGCCTTGTGTCTTTGTTGGATCCACATTAATTTCCAATTTAAATATATCGGCTATATACAGAGAGTTACACCACTTCCAACTCTGTCATTGTTTTGTACGTAACCACAGTTACCAGAACAAAATTCCCTACCGTAGACGTTGAAGTTGATAAAGGTGTTGTGTTGGTAGAACTCCATGGTCCAGCAAGACCCAGTTAACTCGATCTGTCTATCTGCAGCAAGACCCAGCTAGAATTGTATTTGAAATTCAGATGGTCTGATAAGTGAAAAGCATAAATAAAAGTGTGGCAGTGAGATTCTGTAAGGCATCCCACATGCAACGTCACATGCGTCGAACAACAGTGAAACTAGAACTATTCAATTGTCTATTGGACTTGAGGTTTGAACGTGAGATTCAGTGGAAGCTCTAGTTCATTCAGGGTTCTCACCCTTTCTTTCAGGACTTGGGAGTCGTAAACTATTCTGTTAAATTGATTTGGATCGTTTCCGAGAGCTGGATCCCGACGCCTGCCTCGGCATCTTTGCATTGGATGCGGAAGCTATTACTTACTTACGTCTCCACCGCGCAAGTATCAAGCCATCGACCATTCAAAATGTTTTCGGAGTTCTAGGAATCCCGACTACCAAAGATGAGGACAATATGTAGTAGAGTTGTGGACCACGAACCTTCTCTAGACCCTAGTTAATAGTTATCGGGAAATTAAAACTCATTTTGCTATAGGAGTGGAGGTGTTTGTTTGCCACTTGCCATTGGCTTTTAATACCGCCTAAAAATGCGTGGAAAACGTTTGATGCAATGCCTTAAAGAGTAGCAAATTATGACTTTTTAGCGTTGCTCGCCAGCAGCATTTCTCAAATCTCAACTGTTTGAAATTTGAATAGTCATTTTTTGTGCAAACAAAGCTACCCATTTGCTCCACACATATATGGGCCGGTTATGGGTGTTGTTATTAAGTGCTTGTTTGGGAGGGATTTCACGCAGTGGCTTCCAGATTTGTAGGGTAAGCCCTACATGGAAAGCGGTGAGCCGTGAAGTTATATTTGGTGAAAACCTTGGAAAGCCCAAAAGTCTTGTATTGAGTTGAAAAATCAATTTTTAAGTGAAACTAGTTGTTTTTTTTTTTTTTTGAAGACGCTCAATCAACGTTGAAGCCCCTCAAATAGGTCCTAATTAGGGTTCAAAGAGATCAGTGGGCCTGATGTAAATTATGAAGAGCTCGTTTGTAGTCATCTACCACCCACAAAGAAACTACCACTCGTACTCACGAGAGACTGCAGTTGTGCATGACATTGTGCCGCTAGACTACAGCTGTGCATTGGGAACATCTCTTACGAATGACACTGTGCTGTAGTGTCTTATGGGTTATGGATCTAGACTCAAATTATGAGTTATAAATCTCTTTCATCTTGATGTTGTTACAAATTAGATTTCTCGTGTCTAGCCCACCCAACCCAACCCAACTTCTTGTAATCCACTCAAATTTACAGGTGTAAATTTGGCAGGTTGGACTGGATTTAAACTCAACACAGGCTCAACCCTAAGAATTGAGCTTAAAGGTCAAGTCGAAGGTTAAATTTGATTTGTTCAACTCAAATCCAGTTCAAACTAAAATTTGATGCATTTAGATTGGGCTCAAATTAGTCAATCAGCCCACACTAAAATATAACATATATATGCATGCAATAATGTATCTAACCTGAATAATTTTAACTTTTGGACCCATGCCCAGCCCAATAACAGAAAATCTAAACCGAGCATGCTTAAAATTGCCAAATTGCACCCTCCTCCTATCCATTCATTAAGTGGGTGTGTATTTCCATGGGATACATTAGTACAAGATCCCAACTTCGGATCTTCTCTCCTCTGAAGACTTTGGTGGATTGGGGTTGGACTAGTGAGTGTGGGTGGGTTCATGCCCATTTAGGTTCTATGCAAATAGTGGTAAATGGCTTGATGGGTTGAATGGTTGGTTGTCTTGCAGCTCAACCATAGCCCATACCACCCAACCGCTACTCACAATTAGGAATGGGGTCGGGGCAGGGTAGCACTTGCCACTTCCCATCCCCGTCTCCGGCCCTGATCAGGTATCACAATCCATCCCCATTCTCACCCCTATCTCCACCAAAGCAATCACCATCCCCTACCAGATTGGGTTGGGGGAGCCAGGTACCCAACAGGGATGGAAGATTGACATCCCTAATCACAATCCACAATTAAAGGTATGGTGTAAATTACTTTGAGCCAAATTTTCATCATTTTAGGCTTTTAGCAGTTTTCTAACTCTCTTTATATGGATAAACTAAGGGGTGCTCAACAACACAGTTGGTTTTGTTTTTGATAACAAAATCAAGTTGTCGACCACCACTTATGTATATCATTATCAACAAAATTAACAGCATTTATACTGTAACTAGGGACGGAATAGGGGGACCCGGGAAAAGCCAAGGCCCCTTTATGGCCCAGAAACTCCCACTTACATTACATTCTTCCATATATATTTCCTCCTCTCCCCACTCCCCACCCCAATGGTTGCTTCCCACAATGGCCCATCCATATTTATTCTTTCCCCTTTTTCCAATCCACTTTAGTTTTTGGCCCCCTTATAAAGTATTCTTGGCTCTGCCTTTGACTGTAACCAACTTGGCACCTTGTGCCACCTCAGCCTGATTATCAGAGGTTTTTGCTTGCTGAGCTATTTCCTGAGCCGCCCTGTTGTATAAGACACAGGAATATATACAAACACAAATTTTCAGAAAAAAAAACATAAAATATTCTTGAGACTATGTTTGGTTGGATAGAAAATAAGACAGAAATAAAAAGTTAGAAGGAAAATGTTTAATAAATTTTGTAAAATTCCTTGATTATGTTCACTCAACTTTCTGTTGCTCTTTTATTTTTAAGAATCATTTACTTGAACACCTCCTACAGTTTTATAGATTTATTTAAACCTATCATATAGTTGCATTTTACTAAAACACTCCTTATATTTTGCAACCTATTTACTTAATCAATCTTTCATTAAGAACTATTTGTTTTGCCATATGAAAATAGTAACATGATCACCTAAACTAGGTGGAAACTGTTTAAGGGCATGAGCCCATGGTTGCTTATTCCAAAAGTACCCCTAAACTGAGTGGAAAATGTCCAAGGGGTATGGATCCATGGTCGTTTATTCCAAAAGTACCCCTAAACTGAGTGGAAAATGTTCAAGGGTATGGGTCCATGGTTGTTTATTCCAAAAGTACCCTTAACACCTTTTTTGTATAGAAAACAAAATTGACCAAAGTGAGAAAAAATAGAGCGGTTGTCCATGTTTTACTAGGAGCAAAAATGGAATTTTTGTTTTTAGTTGATTTTGGTCAAATTTATTTGAATGGATGTTAGTGTTAACAATGTCATTTTCAACTTTCATCTGATAGAAGGTCAATTAAGTAAATTGATTGCAAACTATAGAGGATATTTTAATAAAACAAAAACTATAAGGTAGGTTTTAGTAAATTCATGAAGCTATAGGGGGTGTTTTAATAAATTATTGTATTTTTAATCAAACCTAACACACCTTAGACCATTCAAAACACTCCAACAAGATCCAAAGACAGCTACATCCAAGTACCCAATTCATTCTAGACTCGTGAAAGCCATCCAAACATGCATGGAGATCTGCACTTTCTAGTGCATCAATCAATATATGGTTAGATTGTTTAGATACTTGGGGCCAGCCTAGAATCAATCTTCTTCCTGTCTTCCATCTCCAATATTGTTCCTATGGCTGCGTTTGGAACCAATGTAAGTCAAGATTGATGTAAATATTTACGCTATTACCCCGGTTCGGTTTTGTCGGCATTTGGAAGGAATGTAAATCAAGATCAACATAAAAACTCTACTTTGGTTCGGTTTTGTATACGTTTGGATGAAGTAGAGTTTTACATCGTAAATCAATGTAAAACTTCATCTAAAATAGTGTTTCACATTGATTATCGATGTAAATACTACATCGATAAAATCAATGTAAAATTCTACTTTTCTCCTCATGCTTTTCGAAATTCAAGTGGTTCGATGTAAAATGTCATCAATGTACTTTTACACTGATGATGTTTTACATCAATTCCAACGCAGTCTATGGATTAGCACCACAACTATTCTATAGCCCATAATGTATGCAGCCCTAAGAGGCGAGGGATTTTTTTCTGGATAATTATTTATTATTAGAATATTTCAGTATTTGGTTCTCCCATAGTAATAAACTATTATTAGAACAATAATGTATTACTAACAACTCTCATTCATTGCCTAAACTAACGGAATAACCAGGGGTGCAAATTGGGCTCGGTTAGGTCGAGTATTTGTCATAATTTTGAATGGGCCTGAACCTTGAGGCCATATTTGGTTTATTGCTTTGGGCCTCATTCTTTTAATTCTTGTTCATACTGGGAAAGAATGGATATAATAGATAACATTAGAGCATTTGTTTACAAAATTCTTGCCAGGGGCTTCATTCTTTTCAAAATGAAGAGTCAGCCCATAGTATAAATTTTGAGATAGCTTGCAACATGAAAAATAATCATGCCCCGTCTTGCTCATTTTCATTTTTTAAAGAAACTCTATGACAACGGTGGTTTAGATCTACAAAATCGTTGCCACGTGTTTATTGGCAAATTGTTGTGGAAACTTACACCAACAGACATTGACTACCGGCTATCTGGTAAATATCTACGCTGATGGTTTTGAGGAATTAGGCTGACAGTTTATGCCT